AAAGGAGTACATCAAAGCTGTATATTGTCACCCTGCTTATTTAACTTATATGCAGAGTACATCATGAGAAATGCTGGGCTGGAGGAAGCACAAGCTGGAATCAAGACTGCTGGGAGAAATATCAATAACCTCAGATATGCAGATGATACACCACCCTTATGGAAGAAAGTGAAGAAGAACTAAAAAGCCTCTTGATGAAAGTGAAAGAGAGTGGAAAAAGTTGGCTTAAAGCTCAACATTCAGAAAACTAAGACTATGGCATCCGGTCCCATCACTTCTTGGGAAATAGATGGGGAAACAGTGGAAGCAGTGTCAGACTTTATTTTTGGGGGCTCCAAAATCACTGTAGATGGTGATTGGAAGGAAAGTTATGACCAACCTAGATAGCATATTAAAAAGCAGAGACATTACTTCGCCAACAAAGGTCTGTTTAGTCAAGGCTATGGTTTTTCCAGTGGTCATGTATGGATGTGAGAGTTGGACTGTGAAGACAGCTGAGCACTGAAAAATTGATGTTTTTGAACTGTGGTGTTGGAGAAGACTCTTGAGAGTCCGTTGGACTACAAGGAGATCCAACCAGTCCATCCTAAAGGAGATCAGTCCTGGGTGTTCAATGGAAGGACTGATGCTGAATTGAAACTCCAATACTTTGGCCACCTGATGTGAAGAGTTGAGTCATTGGAAAAGACTGTGATGTCGGGAGGGATTGGGGGCAGAAGGAGAAGGGGACAACAGAGGATGAGATGGCTGGATGGCATCACCGACTCGATGGACATGAGTTTGAGTAAGCTCCTGGAATTGGCGATGGACAGGGAGGCCTAGCGTTCTGCGATTCATGGGGTCGCAAAGAGTCGGACACGACTGAGCGACTGAACCGAACTAAATGTCATTTTTGTAATTAAGTGTTTGCCCTACTTTATCCTAACAGGCTTACCTGAAATTTAAGTGACATACAGCTATAGAAATGCTCTTCTGATTCAACAGAGCATTAACATGCCAGTCAACACACAAAATCAATGTATTTGAACACCAACAGAAGAATATTTAAGATCCCAACTAAACTCATTCATTTAACAAATATCATGTTCCTATTAAATGCTAGAGACTGAATCCAAAGGATTACCAAAATAAAAAGAAACATGCAGACGAATGGATAAAGAAGCTATGGTACATATACACCATGGAATATTACTTAAAAAAAAAAATAAAGTTATATAAATAGAGCATGTGAAAGGAAAGAACATACAAAAAGTTCAAAAGCAATTTATCTCCTAATGGTGAAGTTGTTCATGATTTTTATCATTTAGTATTTTGATTTTATATTTTTCTAAATTATTGCATTTGCTTATTTAAATACAATGAAAAGAAGCAAATAACTCCACTTGATAGCTAATATTTACTAAATCCTAAGTGTCAGGTGCTATTTTTTATGCTTTATCTGTGTGCATTCACTTTTAAATCTCATAAAAACATGAACAGTAAGAATCTTATGCTCATCCCCGAGTTCAAGTTATTGTATTTCCTTTTACTAGCTACCTACACATGCTCATCCCTGGGTTCAAATTATTCTATTTCCTTTTAAAAGCTACCTACACATGGGCATGATACTTAACCAACTGCTCCCTACCCCCCCTCCAAAAAAAGAAACATGGTTCCCCTGCTCTCTTTGAGCTTATAGTTTAGCAGACAATCAAATAAACCTGCTCCAGAAGGTTTTCCTTTGGTTTCAGCTAAATTAAAACTAAGAACTGAAGAACATATTTTGCAACTACAGAGAAACTCTTTTCAAACACACTTGCATCCTCATAAAAATGAGTAAAAGCTAACTATAAACAATTCAGAAATGGGCAAAATACAGAGAGACTATTCTCAATAGTAGTCAAAGACATATAAACTTTAAAAGATTTTAAAAAATAATAAAAATGGCAGATTCTAAAATGATGCTACACAATAAAGTGATTTTATTAGGTAATGTCATATACTGGTGGCAGAAATATAAATCAATGTAACTTTCTAGATATCTCATTAAGACGCCAATTCCTCTGTATGTTGAAAACTTTTTTGCTCTTAGAAAAATTCCACTAAAAACTGCAAAAGGATTCACAGATTGGGTTTAGAATCTCCAACAACTTACTGTTTCAAAACTGCCTTTATGCATCAAATCAATGGGCGGCCGGAAAAGATCTGCAAGGGTAGTTAGTTTCTTATCTATCGCTCCTCCATTTCTTAATTCCTGTTCTTGCCGAACTGCAACACAGGAGGATAAGAAAATTTCAATTAGCCATAAAAGTCATGAAATCTCCCAATTAAAAAAATGTATCAAATGCAAGAACTAATGAACAATGTGCTTGATCTCAAATGCAAATGCAAAGATCTAAGGCTGACTCTGAAAAAAATTACAAAGTGAGTTGGGGAGAAAGTCTTAAGACTTAGTTCTCTCTATCTAAAGGTAGGGATAAAGGCAAATATTATCTAAGAGTCACTATTCAAAATATCTCCTTCACCTACACAAAGTGAACTTTAGCAAACAAGAAAACTTTCATCTCCATTTATCTAGTTCTAGAAGTCATCCTAATTTATCTAGCTACATTCCAGTTATTTCTAGCAACATTCCCAATCTTGAAAGACTCTGCCAGTGAGAGACAATGACTGCTGCTGTCATCTACTCCTGGAAGGGCACAGGATTCCCTGGATGACTTAAGTCAGTCTGGATTCCACTTTCTCAAGTTGTAAGATCTATCTGAGCTTCAATGAACTCATTATAAATCACTACAAAATCAAACATGGTCCAAAAGTTCCTCACATTTTCTCTAAACACATCTGTCCTTTTCTTTAGGATTCCATTACTAAATCAGTACTAAATCCACTAAAAGTAGATGGTCAAGATTCTCGTTCTAATTTATTCCACAGAAAGACATAAACCTATTTCAAACAGCTGTAGCCAAAATGTTAATAATGGCTGTGTGGGGTAATATGGCTTTTTCTTCTATTTTTCAATCCCTACAATAATCATTTGCATTGTAGTCATTCCTTTAATTGACATATATCAGGTTCCTGAGGAAAATCAGTTTTTCCTTTATTATAGTCAGCATTTAAGTGCTCATTCAGAAATGGATTAAGTTCGTACATTATCAGATTTCTAATATATCCACCTCTCTTACTTGTCTATGATCAAGTAGGTTAGAATTTAGAATAATTCAGCTCCATGGGTGGAGAAGGGCATGGTAACCCACTCCAGTACTCTTGCCTGGAAAATCCCATGGACAGAGGGGCCTAGTAGGCTACAGTCCATGGGGTCGAGAAGAGTCGGACATGACTGAGCGACTTCACTTTCACTTTTCACTTTCATGCATTGGAGAAGGAAATGGCAACCCACTCCAGTATTCTTGCCTGGAGAATCTCAGTGACAGAGCAGCCTGGTCGCACAGAGTCGGACATGACTGAAGCAACTTAGCAGCAGCAGCAAGGGGGAGTTAATAACAATCACAGACTGAATTAATAATTTACTTTTTTAAGTAAGATGAATCCTCAAAGTTATTAGGCCTAATATTAATCATTTTTTTCTTTTTAAGAAAAAATTATATCAAATAAACCAAGATCTTGACCTGAAGGGAAGTGTATGGCTGCTTTTCCACTTTGTGGTTTTATCTGCGGGAGACAGGGAGAGAGAGAAAGACAAGAATGGAGGCAGAGAGAAGGAGGAAGAGAAAAGAAAATGATAAACTGATCCATAGATACCTACTAGTTTCAGTTTGAAAATCCCGGAAACCATCAAATATTGAACGAGCAGGCCGTCGTCTTTTAGGAGCTTTAGGAGAAAAAAACAGAATTGACACAAAAGTTTAAAAATTAATTTTGTAACAATTCTAAAATGTCTTTATCTATAAGAATTTCTTATTTCAAGACACTCAGATTGATAATAGTGCCCTCTTCCAAAAAATAAAATATTTTTAAAACCTTCAAGTCATTCATATATAATTAACGTAACCATCTTCAGACCAACATTTTGTTATATAAAAAAGAAAATCAAGACTTGGCCAAACTTGTGTAAAACGACAGGAAGAAAGATTGTGAGGATGATTCCACATGGAGATGAATCTTACACATGCTCCAAATACCAAATTCAGGTTATCCTAAAAAATCTGCCTACACTTCAGTGCAATACTTGAGTAAATTTTAAATCACAATATTTAAGAACTACTTACGCACACATGTAGAATTATGAACACCAGAAAAACAATTTTAGAGTATCAATTTTTCCTATAATTAGAGAGAAATAAACAGAACCAACGTCTTCTGATACTGCTGAATAGGGTCTATTACCCAATCCTTAAGTATTGTACAGATAAAGTTTCAAAAGCAATCATCAAAATGTTATCTTCCTGTATGTTCTTAAACCTAGAAATTTACCAGGTCTTAAATGGGAAAAGAATCTGAAAAAGGACAGATACATGTGTATTATGTATAACTAAATCACTTTATTGTACACCTAAAACTACCACACAACTGTAAATCAACTATAATATACAATAATTCTTTTTTAAATTACCAGGTCTTTATATACATTAAATAAGGACATTTAATGATTCTTTCAATATGGGTGACTGTTATTAAGTTGGCTTATGGCAAGCCCAGCAAGCATGTAACTAGAACAATATTCCATAAGAAATGATGATTAGATAGTAAGATTAGATAGAAACTGTAAAAGTCCCCCAACCCCATTTTCAAAGCATCCTTCGCAATAGCCTGCATTTTCCACTATATAGGGTAATTCTTTAAATCTAAGAACTACTGAGTAAAAAGCAAAACAAAAAATAACAAAAAAATGCAGAACCACATGTTAAAAAATTACTTATTTGTTTAAAGCATTATCTGTCAGTATATCATTTGGCAGATTCCCCTGAGGAAAGGCAAGGCAACCCACTCCAGGATTCTTGCCTGGAGAATCCCATGGACAGAGGAGCCTGGTGGGCTACAGTCCACGGGGTCGCAAAGAGTTGGACACAACTGAAGTGATTTAGCACATATTATTTATGCACTTACGCATATCAGTATTTACATTGAAGAATCACAATATTATCTCTAGGAAAAGGAATTTGATAAAAATGAGAGGCTTCTATATGTTAACTTTGCATTGAATTTCAAATTTAACTTGAATTTTACATATAAATTGTTTTATCAAATAAATTACACAAATTTATTTTAAATTTTATTAAACTTATAAAATTTAAATATTGCCTTATTTCTCTCTCCCTCCCTTTATACAGAAGAAGCAAGAAATATTCTCTTCAATCTTGGAACTATTTTTATTTGAGAGTTCCTTTCTTAAATATGTATGTTTCTAGCAGTAATAATTTCTCAATGCTTTCTTAAAACTCATTATTAAGTACTATTTAACCATAAAAATTAAGAAAGTTTTAACCAATTGTTAACCATAACAATTAGGAATTATCTTAGGGTAAGACATTGAACAGCTGCTTAAGAAAGCATATTATTATTGGAGAGGTAGTACATAATATATAAAAGGTAGCTTTTCTTCTATTTTTAAATTACCAATGGCAGGCCAATCAATATTCTACATTCTTTACACACATACATATTCACTCCCCCCACCTTGCCTCCAATTTAGCCCTTCTCAACCTCCTGGAGGTTCATCATAGGTCCTTATTGCTAGCTTTCCAACTACCCTCATATTTCTTGGACTCATGACCTATTCCCATTTGTTTCCCCCTTACTTACCCTAAGTCTAAGCAAGAACCTCTCCTCAAGCCACTACACCTCTAGCTTCAGTACCGTTATTACTGCTGCCTGCCTCTTCATACATGGTTTCCAGACTCTTCCAAACCATATGCTAAAAGTAAACATCAATCCTCTTTATTCTTACTCTACTAACCACAAAGTAAGAGTCCTGGTCACTGAGGTCAAAGAAACTAAGCTGCAAAGAGCTAAAAGAGATTCACTCGGAGCTTCACAGTCAGAATAGGGGAGAAACAGAGAAAACAAAATTTTATGAGAAGAGTAGCACTGTTTCACATTTTCACAAATCTCTGTTAATAACTGGTATAAGAGAAGACCCCTGAATTTTTAGATCTGCTTCTGCATTCAATCTGCTGCTATTCTTTTAATTCAAGTATATGAAGAAAAATAAAATTTAACTTCACACAGACATGTAGTTGTAAAAGGGAAGAGTATTTTAACAGTTTTAAGGTAATTGTGAACATTTTCCTCGGCTGCTATACCAAACTCAATCAGTGGTAATTTCTTAAAAGGTTGGTAGCAACATGGAATCTAAAATATCATCAATGAACTTTTCATACTCTGCTCCATTGAAATCTATTGGTCTATGTGGTAGGCAGGCTCTGTGACAGCACCTAATTATCCCTATCTCATGACCTGTGGGTGAACATCTTGAGTATGGGCAGGATCAAACAGAATGAGGCAGAGGTGACAGGATGTAATTTCCAATAATTAGGTTACAAAAATACGGTGGCTTCCATCCTGAGCTGTCCTCTCTGGCTCTCTCATTTGCTCTGTGGTAAGGAACTGATGATGTCTCCAGTCAACCACCAGCCACATAAGTGAATTTAGACTCTTCCTCTAGTCATGTTTTGGGATGCCAGTAGCCCTGACTGACACCTTGATTATACCTTTGAGAGACCATAAACAGAGGGACCCGACTAAGCCACACCTGGATTCCTAACACACAGAAATGATGATATAACAAACATTTTTGTTTCAGGAAGTCAAACTTTGAAATAATTTGTTAAATGGCAGCAGATATTTAATATATATTGCATATACAAATACATATTGATCTGAACAAATCTTTCACCTATGCACAATTTTGTAACAGTGTGCTTTGGTGGTTTGAAAATATCTGTTCATTGAGTTATGCAAAACATTCCAAATACTGACCACTTCATTATACAATATTTAAAAAAAAATAACTAGCTGTTAATGTCACCACTAATCTCATTAGAAGATTATTATTATTGGAAGATGTGAAAAGGAAAGCGAAAAGCAAAGAAGAAAAGGAAAGATATACCCATTTGAATGCAGAGTTCCAAACAACAAAGAGATATAAGAAAGCCTTCCTCAGCGATCAATGCAAAAAAATAGAGGAAAACAACAGAATGGGAGACTAGAGATCTCTTCAAGAAAATTAGAGATACCAAGGGAACATTTCATGCAAAGATGGGCTCAATAAAGGACAGAAATGGTATGGACCTAACAGAAGCAAAAAATATTAAGAAGACATGGCAAGAATACACAGAAGAACTATACAGACCTTCATGACCCAGATAATCATGATGGTATGATCACTCACTGAGAGCCATACATCCTGGAATGCAAAGTCAAGTGGGCCTTAGGAAGCATCACAACAAACAAAGCTAGTGCAGGTGATGGATTTCCAGGTGAGCAATTTCAAATCCTAAAAGATGATTTTGTGAAAGTGCTGCAATCAATATGCCAGCAAATTTGGAAAACACAGCAGTGGCCACAGACTGGAAAAGGTCANGGGCTCCAAAATCACTGCAGATGGTGATTGCAGCCATGAAATTAAAAGACGCTTACTCCTTGGAAGGAAAGTTATGACCAACCTAGACAGCATATTAAAAAGCTGAGACATTACTTTGTCAACAAAGGTCTGTCTAGTCAGTCAAGGCTATGGTTTTTCCAGTGGTCATGTATGGATGTGAGAGTTGGACTATAAAGAAAGCTGAGCACCAAAGAATTGATGGTTTTGAATTGTGGTGTTGGAGAAGACTCTTGAGAGTCCCTTGGACTGCAAGGAGATCCAACAAGTCCATCCTAATGGAGATCAGTCCTGGGTGTTCATTGGAAGGACTGATGTTCAACCTGAAACTCCAGTACTTTGGTCACCTGATGCGAAGAGCTGACTCATTTGAAAAAACCCTGATAAGGAGTCAGAATAGCTCAGTTAGGAGAGCATTAGAATGCAAAGACCCTGATGCTGGAAAAGACTGAGGATAGGAGGAAAAGGGGACGACAGAGAATAAGATGGTTGGATGGCATCACTGACTCAATGGACATGGGTTTGGGTGGACTCTGGGAGTTGGTGATGGACAGGGAGGACTGGCATGCTGCATTTCATGGGGTTGCAGAGTCGGACATGACTGAGCAACTGAACTGGAATGAATCTCATTAGAAAGCCTTTAAGTACTAGGAAGCTAACAAGATCACAATCATGGACATAAACTTCCTAAAATTCTAAGTTCTGCATGAAAGCTTTTTTTTCCTTAAATGACTGGCAATAATTAATGTCAGTTGTTTGCCTTGAAGCAGTTAACAGGCTTTGTTCACATTTAAGAAAATGTCTGCCAAATGCCTAACTCTAAATAACTAGTTTGTCAGTAATCTTTCAAGAAAAAGTGTTCCATAAGAAAAGCAGCTAGTTTAGGTTTCAACTCAAACACCTGTACAAGTGTTTTTCCTTAAAGTAACCAGAGTACTTCAGTATGTGGAAGTGCCTTATGTACATATTCTATTTCATCAAAAAGAATAGTTTAAAAATGTGGGTCAAGATTAAATGAAAAGAATTTTTATTGCTTTGCCAAGAACATTAATAAGTAAAATTGGCTTTTTTTGTTTTTAAACTGCAAGTGTGTATCAGTGAAGAATTCAACAAGTAGCAGCAGTTTGGTGCCACTATCCTGATTTAATTAAGATGGCAGTAGCTGGACCAATCATTGCTTCTCAATTATCAGCCCAAATGTCAACACTGTGAAAAAGGCAAATAACTTGTTAGTATTATTATGAAAATGGTTCTGTTCTTACGACCCACTGAAAGGGTATCAGGGAGTCTCAGACCACACTTGTACACACTTTAAATCGATACTACTCCTAAGAAAATAGTTCTCCAAAAACCTTTTCAAAGTTATAATAAAATCTACTAACGAAAGTTCAGACTGACTTACCAACTGTATAAAGTCATTCATACCCCCTACCCTCATCAAACCAGAGGTAAAAGAAAGTGATATTTCAGATGGAAACTCTTTTGCCTCAAACAGTAAAACAGCTTAGAACCCATTTGCTGTTGTCTTCCCCACGCAAAGATCCTGCCTTTATTCCTTGCAATAAAGGAAAGAGAAAGCTTTCAAGGGCATTCATTATTCCTGAGCTCTGTTACATTTATATGAAGAAAAAAAAAGCAGAAAGCACATATTATTCTTCAATATTCAGATCTTATAGTGCTCTTTCTCCCATCTTTATTTCTGAATCTTACTCTCATCTTTATTTCTGACTCTGGACATCTTTATTTCTTTCTAGAGTAAACTCCAAAGCTGCCAGGTTAAAGATCAATCTTAAAACTCTCAACTAACTTGCTTTTTCAAATCAAAAGACATGGTTTATGTAATTTTCTTCATCTTTTTCTTACAACTTATTTCTTCTTTTAGCCTGCCTACAAAACTTCTTATAGATTTATGTTTTTGCATTGCTATTCTCAATGTACACATATACATGTATACATGTGTACATATGTACACATATGTACATATTCGTATGTAAATATGTATGTTTCTATGACTCTGTCTACCCAACTAAATCCTAACTTCCTCTTCTGGGTTTTGGGGTTGTTTTTTTTAAGTTTTTTTGGCCACACTACATGCCAGACAAAATTTTAGTTTCTCAACCAGTGATGGAACCTGTGCCTCTAACAGTGGGAAGTGCAGAGTCTTAACCACTGGACTGGCAGCGAAGTTCCCTATATTCTGCAGTTTTAATATACCTCTTAATGCCTAAAATATCTGGCTCACAAAAGGTAAGTAAGTGCTTGTTAAAATAAAATTATAGGCAATGTTGAGCATCTTTTCATATATTTGTTGGCCATCTGTATGTCTTCTTTGGAGAAATGTCTGTTTAGGTTTTTTGCCCATTTTTGATTGTGTTATTTGTTTTTCTGGTACTGAGCTGCATGAGCTATAGTATATTCTGGAGACTAATCCTTTGTCAGCTATCTTGTTTACAATTATTTTCTCTCATTCTAAGGGTTGTCTTTGTTTGTTTGTTTCCTTTGTTGTGTAAAAGCTTTTAAGTTTAATTAAATCCCATTTGTATATTTCCATTTTGCTTTTGTTTTTATTTCCATTACTCCAGGAGGTGGCTCAAAGAGGCTCTTGCTATGATGTATGTTAAAGACTGTACTGCTGATGTTTTCCTCTAAGAGCTTTATAGTAATGCAAATCAAAACTATAATGAGGTATCACCTCACACTGGTCAGAATGGTCATCATTAAAAAATCTACAAACAATAAATGCTGGAGAAGATGCAAAGAAAAGGGCACCCTTGTGCACTGCAGTTGGGAATGTAGACTGATTCAGCCACTATGGAGAACAGTACAGATTCCTTAGAAGAACTAGGAATAGAACTACCATGTGACCTAGCAATCCTACTACTGAATATACACCCTGAGAAAACCGTAATTGAAAGAGACACATGTACCCCAATGTTCAGAGTGAATTAAGTCAGAAAGAGAAAGATAGATATTGTATATTAACACATGCATATGGAATCTAGATGTTACTGATGAACCTATTTGCAGGGCAGCAATGGAGACACAGACATATGGAACAGACTTGTAGACACAGTAGAAGAGGGTAGGACGAATTGAGAGTAGCATGGAAACATACATATCACCATATGTAAAATAGATAGCTGGTGGGAATTTGCTGTGTGACACAGGGAGCTCAACCCAGGGCTCCGTAACTACCTATAGGGATGGGATGGGATAGGAGATAGAGAGGTTCAAGAGAAAGGAGATGTATGTATACCTGTGGCTGATTCATGATATATGGCAGAAACCAGTACAATACTGTAAAGCAATTATCCCCCTCACCCCAAATTTTTAAAGAATAACAGAATCTGCCTTCCAATGCAGGGGACAAAAGTTCTGTCCTTAGTTGGGGAACTAAGATCCTACATGCCTCAGGGCAACTAAGACCTGATGCAGCCAAATAAATAAATATTTTTTAAATAAAATACAATAAAACTATAAATTTTCTTTAAATCTGATTAAATGTTCTATTTCCTACCATCTTCTTTATGCACCTCAGATTGATACCATAATTTTTTGCATGGAATAGAGATTATTTTTTCCATTTTTCAATACAGGAATAACACTTCTAAAAATTAAATAAGAGTTCCCTGGTAGTTCAGTGGCTAAGACTTTCCACTCCCAATGCAGGGGACCCAGGTTCAATCCCTGGTCAGGGAACTAGATCCCACATGTGCCAACTAAGACCTGGTACAGCCAAATAAATAAATACATTAAAAAAAAAAAAGAGTGAAGATATAGTGTATCAAGACAGTAAGGACATGGCAGTCAAGTGGGTATTAAAAAAAAAACAATCAGAGTCTTTTATCTAATGATAGATTTGTTTCCATTATAAGGCAGCAATTCCTTTTGCTTATTTTCCTCTTTTTGGCCTTCTGAAATAGTTATCGACTTTTTAATCTCATTCACTCCTCAGAAGAAGCAACTGTGCAACCTGCCTCAGTGGAGTACGGAATTACAAGATAAGGACTGTACTTGAAATAATAATCTGAGTAAGTCTTCACATCTTGCGATAGCTTTATTAAAATCCTGAAGACAACAATAAAGGCAAATAAAGCTAGGAAAAAAAGGTAAACTTACCACCAAACAAAGGTTCTGGTTCCACCAGTATTTCTTGCTTTTGAGGAATTGGGGCACGAACTTCCTCTCTATTAAGAAGAAAGAAATAAGTGGGAAAATATCCAAATGAAAACTGTTTTCTGCTACTTTTCTCACTGTAATTATTATGAATACATTTCAAATTAACAAGTAAAATGAACAACAGACTTAGTGACTTTAAGGAACCACATTAAATTATGACAAGTGACTGTTGGGTGATTTCCAAATAGAGATCAACTGGGACAAGGTACCTGGCACAGATAGAGCAAATGGGCTTAAGGAAAGAGAACAAACATAAAAATAAAAAATACTGTGCCTCTCCTCTTAAGTTACCTCCTCTAAATTCTTAAGGAAAAAAAAAGATAAGAAATTTATACAGACACAAAAAAAATTCAGGAATTAATGGAAAAATATGAGCTTAAGCAATACTACATCACCACTACATCAAATTCAGAATTGAAACACAGATATATTAATATAAGTTTAAACAGGCAGTTAATTTTATGCTAGTTATGGCAAGAACTAAAGAAGTAGGTCCTGTTTTGTTGTTTAGTCACTAAGTCATGTCCAACTCTTTTGTGACCCCATGGACTGTAGCCTGCCAGGTTCCTCCATCCATGAGATTTCCCGGCAAGAATACTGGAGTGGGTTGTCATTTTCTTCTCCAGGGGATCTTCCTGATGCAGGGATCAAACTGCATGTCCTGTGTTAGCAGGCGATTCTTTACCACTGAGTCACCAGGGAAGTCCAACCTAAGCAGTACTCTTGGATTCTTCATTAAAGAGACACTAATAACAGGAAAAAACTCATCTTTTAAAAGCCTATAAATTCTTCAGAGTTTACCTCCAGAGGGTTTACTAATAATCCGTCTCTTCTAGTGAACAATACTCATTTAGATAGGCTATAAAAATGATACATCTCTTTATATATCATTTACTTATTTTAGCTTTAACTCAAATACAAAACTGCTGATTAATGTTCATAGCATGTAGTAGGTTCCAAATTTAATATGCTGCTCTTAAAATAAATGTTAATTTAACTTAGGCCAATGTTTTTCATTCAGGTGTTTCTAACAGTAATAACTGAGCTTAAGGCTCTGTTTTTGACACCTAAAAGTTGAAACATCAAAATATGCTTTATTTAATAAAGTATCAATACTCATTTGTCAACAAAAACATACTGTAAATAAAGAACTAGTCAGACAAAGAAAACTATAAGCCAAATGAGTGAAGCATAAATGATAACTCAATATTACACTAAGAACTCTTTCTTACTGGATTTCAGTCACTGCTCACAAACAGAATTGCAATATTCTGAAGAAATAGATATGTGTCTCTAAGAAGAAGCTCTATTAAATCTCTTTCACCAAAGAACAGGCCATTATCTTAAGAAAAAGATATCTTAACAGACAACTTTTACCTGAATAGATCTTTCCATTATTGGTATACTTCACTTTACATTTTATGTGAATGTGTGTGCATGTACAGAATTATCTCAATCTAAGGCTTCCCTACTAGCTCAGCTGGTGAATCTGCCTGCAATGCAGGAGACCCCGGTGTGATTCCTGGGTCGGGAAGATCCCTTGGAGAAGGGATAGGCGCTACCCACTCCAGTATTCTTGGGCGTTCCTGGTGGCTAGGCTGATAAAGAATCCGCTTGCAATGCAGGAGACCTGGGTTTGATCCCTGGATTGGAAGATACCCGGAAAAGGAAAACAGCTACCCACTCCAGTATTCTGACCTGGAGAATTCCGTGGACTGCACAGTCCACGAGGTCGCAAAGAGTTGGACAAAACTGAGCAACTTTCACACAGAAGGCAATTTAATTACTCAAGAAACAAGTCTTAACTCTGATGAAATACACCAATTAAGGTCATGGCTAATTAGTAGTCCTCATACAGAAAGACATTATTTTAGGTCATCTATTCCAAGACTGCTGGCTACCTAATGAAATGGAAGAATGGAACAGAAGGTGAACTGTATAGAAAGAAAACCTGTTTAGAAAGTAGGCTATGGTGTTAGTCACTCAGTTGTGTCCGACTCTTTGCGACCCCATGGACCACACCAGGCTCATCTGTTCAGGGGATTCTCCAGGCAAGAATACTGGAGTGGACTGCTATTCCCTTCTCCAGAGGATCTTTCCCACCCAGGGATCAAACCTGGGTCTCCTGCACTGCAGGCAGATTCTTTACCATTTGAGCCACTGACACTGGCTTAGGAAGTAGGTGCCACTATCAAAGATTAATCAATTACTAATACAAATAATCTAAGTCAAATTAGAATGTAATTCAGTAGGAAAAGACATTCATTAATCAAAGTATTTTTAAGTACAATTAAGAAAACATGTTTTAAACAGTGAAGACTGATATGTTCCCCCCCCAAGTCAGCTATGAATACCTGTTATAAACTAAATCATATTTTCATATTGATTTCCATTAAAGATTTGAGTTATGTTGGTGGAGACTGGATTACTGAACTTGAAATACAGCCAATACAGATAGGAAAAAACTTTGTAAGATACAAATAACAACCTTTAAAGTTCATAGTTTGTGGGGAATCTAGAATCTGGAACTAGACTGAAAAAAAAAAAAAAAAAAGCAATATGTCCTGGATTGTTTCTGTGGCTTTTTATATCTAATTTAGTAAATATAAAATCTGCACCTTTGGCCTATTCTATTTAAGGGGCTCCCTCTTGTTTAGTATCTCATGTTGTAAACATTAAAGAGTTATAAAGGGCTATCTGTATTAAAATATTATTTAAGAATCTTTGAAATTTTTACTCAAAAATCAATGTTTTTCATTTGAGGATCATTCACCTCTAATATTTTCCAAAGACTACTGGAATTTTGCCTAATAGATATTCACTTTAAACTCTCACTGGTATCAAATGTAAAGGGTGGAAAACATCAATGTACTTATCATTTGTTACTATTCTTCATATATTACAGTTCTATATGCTGAAGGTACTTCTAAAGATTAGATACTTATAGTTATCTAAGGTATAAAGAATTAGAATTTTTTTCAAAACTTTTTCATGACAACTCAAAACTTTCCTGGGTCAATGTGGGAAAATCTAAAAATGGGAAATCTGACCTTTATTGGGCTCTACTTGCATATCTGCTACTTAATTGCTGCATAGCTTGGGGAAATAGCTATTCTTCAGCTTCCTCTGTAAAATGTGGATAATACCCACCTATAGGATTCTTCTGAGAATTAAATAATAGACTTGACAGTGCTCTAGAGAACTTAAAGCACATAGTATAAAAATTGTGACTTGACACGTTCAGATGCTTGCAACTTTTTATTTGTTCAAAATAGAGAATTAACCTAATTGACAAAAATGTAACTGCTCAATGTTGGCAGCAGGTAGCTCCTAATAATAAATATTAAATTCATACTCTGTGTGTGGTCTGACAGTGGAGACACTTGCTGAACTGGTACTGGGCTCTTCAGCGATTCCTCCACCATCCAAAAACATAGTGACTGCCATCTCCAGATTATTGTTGCAGGCTTCAAGCATATGTTTTCCTACACTTTCACTTGCACCTGAAATAGTATAAAAACAAGAAAAAAGTTAAACAAAGACATTTTCTTACATTTAATTCACATCAGAAGACAGAATGCCCAAGGAAATTAATAGTACTTTTCCCTCTTTAGAATGAATGTTTTTTAATTATTTTTAAATTGAAGGATAATTGCTTTACAGAATTTTATTGTTTTCTGTCAAACCTCAACATGAATCAGCCATAGGTATACATATGTCCCTGCTCTCTTGAACCTCCCTCCCATCTCCCTTCCCATCCCACCCCTCTAGGTTGATACAGAGACTCTGAGTTCCCCGAGACATACAGCAAATTCCCATTGGCTACCTATTTTACATATGGTAATGTAAGTTTCCATGTTACTCTCACCCTAAATCTCACCCTCTTCTCCCCTTTTCCGTGTCCTTAAGTCTATTCTCTATGTCTGTTTCTCCACTGCTGCCCTGCAAATAAAGTCTTTGGTACCATCTTTCTAGATTTCATGTATATGCATTAGTATATGATAGTCACCTTTCTCTCTCTTACTTCACTCTGTATAACAGGCTCTAGGTTCATCTACCTCATTAGAACTGACTCAAACAAGTTCCTTTTTATGGCTGAGTAATATTCCATTGTGTGTATGTACAACTTCTATATCTATTTATCTGTCAATGGACATCTAGGTTGCTCCCATGTTCTAGCTACTATAAACTGTGCTGCAATGAACATTGATGTGTCTTTTTCAATTTTGGTTTCCTCAGCATATATACCTAGGAATGGTATTGCTGGGGCATATGGTGGCTTTATTCCTAGTTTTTTAAGGAATCTCCATACCATCTCCCATAGTGGCTGTATCACTGTATTCCCACCAACAGTGCAAGAGGGTTCCCTTTGCTCCACAGCCTCTCCAGCATGTACTGCTTCTAGACCTTTTGATGATGGTCATTCTGACCGGGAGAATGACCATTATGGCAGAAAGCGAAGAAGAACTAGAGCCTCTTGATGAAAGTAAAAGAGGGGAGTGAAAAAGTTGGCTTAAAGCTCAACATTCAGAAAACTAAGATCATGGCATCCTATTCGATCACTTCATGGCAAATAGATGGGGAAACAATGGAAACAGTGAGAGACTTTTATTTTCTTGGGCTCCAAAAGCACTACAGATGGTGATTGCAGCCATGAAATTAAGATGCTTGCTCCTTGGAAGAAAAGCTATGACCAACCTAGACAGCACATTAAAAAGCAAAGACATTACTTTGCCAACAAAGGTCCGTCTAGACAAAGCTATGGTTTTTCCAGTAGTCATGTATGGATGTGAGAGTAGGACCATAAAGAAAGCTGAGTGCCAAAGAATTGATGCTTTTGAACCATGGTGTTGGAGAAGACTCTAGAGAGTCCCTTGGACTGCAAGGAGATCCAAACAGTCCATCCTAAAGGAAATCAGTCCTGAATACTCACTGGAAGGACTGATGCTGAAGCTGAAACTCCAATACTTTGGCCCCGTATGCGAAAAACTGACTCATTGGAAAAGACTCTGATGCTGAGAAAGCCTGAAGGCAGGAAGAGGAGGGGACAACAGAGGATGATATGGTAGGATGGCATCACTGACTCAATGGACATTGAGTTTGAGCAAACTCCAAGAGTTGGTGATGGACAGGGAAGCCTGGCATGCTGTAGTCCATGGGGTCACAAATCGGACACAACTAACCGACTAATTCTGACCAGTGAGAGGTGATATCTCATTGTAGTTTTGATTTGGACTTTTCTAATAATGAGCAATATTGAGCATCTTTTCATGTGTTTGTTATTCTGAAAGTTATCTTTAAACCTTGCTTATAGTTTCCTTTGTTGTGCAAAATCTTTTAAGTTTAATCAGGTTCCACTTGTTTACTTTTATTTCCATTATTCTAGGAGATGAGTCATAGAGGATCTTGCTTTCTTTTTTTTTAAATAATTATTTAATTCTACACTGTTGCCTGATTAGTGTGAAATATATAAAACTAGAAAAGAAAGCAGCATTAAAATAGTAGTCTTCCTTCATAATAAAACAAAAACTAAATAAAGCATTTATTTGCCATTTCTTTAAATAAACCAACTATATATTCAATATTTGTTAATAAACTGAAAAATAAAATGAAACACTATATCCTAGAAAGTTAGAACTACTTCATTAGAAAGAATGCAGTTCAGTTAGCAATTTCTATTTCTATTAGGAAGGAAGCATTTTCGTAATAATGGGAGAGAAGAGAAATGCTACATTTTTTGTCAAAGATATAATCAAATCAAAATCTGCTATGAAATGTCACTCTTCATCATTTAAAACTGGTCCTATCACACAGTTACTCATTTATTTGTACAATAAAGCAAACATAATCTGTTTGATGCAATGTAAACTGGTAAAGCCCTTTAAGAAATCAATTTTTTAAAAATATGTATTTATTTGGCTGCACTGGGTCTGAGCTGTGTGACATGAAATCTTCGATCTTTGTTGTGGCATGCAGAATCTTTAGTTGAAGTATATGAACTCTTAATTGCAGCATTTGGGATCTAGTTCCCTGACCAGGGATCGAACCTGGGCCCCCTACATTGGGAGCACAGAGTCTTAGCCAGTGGGCCACCAGGGAAGTCCTAAGAAATCAATTTCATAAGATGTTATCAGGAAACATAAAAATACCCTTTACAATTTTTGACCCAGTAATTTGGACTTGTAGTCTAAATAAACCTACACAAGTCTAAATAATCTATATAAATCTAGTCTAAATAAATCTATATAAAATACATGCATAACCCTGTCTATATACATGTCCAATATAACTTCAGTTAATACCGAAAAACTGGACAACATAAATGGCTAACAGCAGTAGAATCTAAATTGTCAATCTATTTGGTGGGACATTCTGTGAGCATTACAAAGCATCTCAGGTCACAAGGAACTATATTCAATATCCTATAATAAACCACAATGGAAAAGAAAAAAAAAAAAAGGACCTCAGACTTTCCATTTGAGATGATTTTCTTTCTACCTGAATTTTGTCCCTTAGAGTCTCCTCCAGCCAAGACTGATGGTGTGTTGTTTTTTGTTTTTGATCTGATAACGCCTTTTATTTTGCCATTGTTCCTGAAAGACAGTTTCAGTGGATATTCTATTTTAAGGCTGACAGTTATTTTCTCCCAGTACACTGAAGATAGCATTCCGGTGTCTTCTGGCTTCTGCTACTGCTTGTGGGAAGTAGGCTGCCAGACTAAAGAAAAACATTTTTCTAGCAATCTGTTGTTTCTCTCTAGTTACTTTTAAGATCTTCTCTGTCTTTGGTCTTCAGCAGTTTCACTCTGATTTGCCGACTTTATTTATCCTTCTCAGGATTCACTGGACTTCAACCAAAGACTCATCTTTCACCAATTCTGACAAATTCTCAGACATTTTCTTTTAAGGGTCTTAGTTGAGGCATGCATCAACCTTCTGTTGCAGTGTCCGCTGCATTGGAAGACGGATTTCTTAACCACTGGACCAGGGAAGTCCCTGCCAATTTGTCTTTCACCTGTTCACGAGCTTTTGTGTTGTGCTATGACCAGCTGCATCTGACTCTTTGCAACCCCATGAACTGTAGCCTACCAGGCTCCTCTGTCCATGGGATTTTTCAGGCAAGAATATTGGAGTGGGTTGCAATTTCCTTCTCCAGGGGATCTTCCTGACCCAGGGATCAATCTTGCGTCTCATGCATTGCAGGCAGATTCTTTACCATAGTGCCACCTGGGAAGCCCTCATGAACTTTTAGTTTTAATTTTTTATAACTAGAAGTTCTGGGTTTTTTCTAATCTGCTTGGTCATGTTTCAGAGACCCTTACTTCATACTCTTACTTCGATCTTTTTCATTTATTCTAATATATAATCAAACCTACAGGAATTACAAAGACAAAAGATAACTATCTGCAGTCTCTAGTGGTCACTGTCTCTTGTTTCTGCTGGCTCTTGCCCACTGTGCCATGGTTTCTTGTGCATTTTGTGATTTTTCTGACTGTGATTTCAAGTGGCTCAGAATTTTAACCTATAGATTTATGAAGATCTGTAGATTTATAAAGCCTGGGTTGAAGGTACATTCCTTCTCAGAGAAAATGATTTAACAGATTTTGTAAGGTGCCTGAGGGCACTACCAAACAGGGGCTATTTAAAATACATTCTTGGCGGCAGGTTGGTCCTGGAGCAGATGAGCGTAGAATATTTAGGCGAAAACGCGAGGAGGGGGTGGGATCGCGGGGCAGGAGGAGTATCTCCGCCAAGAAAATTATGCATGCATTAGGGAAGCTCTGAGAGAATGGCTGTGGAAGCTCTCCACTGCAGTTTGAATCCACAGGGAATTGATCACCCTGCCCATGGTGAAGGTATTAAACTACAAATTGAAGGCGAAGGTGTTGAGTCTCAATCCATTAAAAATAAAACTTTCCAGAAGGTGCTTGACCAAAAAGGAACCCCCAAGCGACTGCAGACAGAAGTCAAGACAACTAAGTCAGCCACGGTGAAGCCGTCAAAACCAGTGGCCCTGTGGACCCAGCAGGATGTCTGCAAGTGGCTGAAGAAACATTGTCCGAATCAGTATCAGATCTACAGTGAGTCATTCAAACAGCACGACATAACTGGGCGAGCCCTGCTGAGACTTACAGACAAAAAGCTTGAGCGAATGGGGATCGCCCAGGAGAACCTCCGGCAGCTCATCTTGCAACAGGTGCTCCAGCTGAAGGTGCTCGAAGAAGTCAGAAACCTACAGTTACTCACGCAAGCCTCAGCCGAAGGTTCTCCATAAAAGGAGTTAGCCTTCCAAGCTGCTGTCCTGCCAGTCAATACGAACATGGCCTGTTCCTCACAGAAAGACTAACTCATGGCACTGCCAGAAGATATCCTTAGAGCATTGACAGATTAACCAGATTAACCAGAAAACCACCCATTCAGTCAAGATTACCGGCTTTGGAAAATCTTAGTTTGCTCTGGATTTTTAAATGAGGTGCATAATATACAGTGCCAGCTTGTTCCAA